TATGTGTGTGAATACATTTTTGTGCTTGTGTTTGTTTTTCTGTTCTTTTCTTGTGTGGGTGGGCTCAGTCCTTGCAAAGCAGATTCACTTATTCAAATAAAAAGCCCAATGGCTGCTTCCAAATGCAGAGCTGTAACATCCTCAGCCAATGAGTGGCACCTGTGCAGATGCAGAAACTTTATCTGGGTTTCATGTAGGGACTCTCTCTTGAGTCTTCCCTAAATCATATCACAGTGTTGTCATAGACAACAGCCATTTTTAAACTAGTATAGAAATACTAGCTTTCCTCTGCACTCAGGAAGGGACCTTCTTTGCTCCCATCATCATTCCTGATACAAATGCTCATGTCATCCAACAGGGGAGGGCGAGGCTAGAGAGAAAAATCTATTCAAACCATGAAGCTGTTGATAAGGTCATTTTTTTAAATATTATTTTTTAGTGGTAGTTGGACACAATACCTTTATTTTACTTATTTGTTTTTATGTGGTGCTGAGGATCGAACCCAGGGCCTTGCACATGCTAGGTGAGCGCTCTACCACTGAGCCATAACCCCAGCCCAATTGGGACATTTTTGACCTGAAAGATTTTTGAAATTTTTTTCTTCTTTAGCTAGTGCATAATTTGTACTTCCACCAGAACATTCTAAGGCAGATGCAATGAGTTATCTCATCACAAGTGAGGGGAAATTATAACCATGGTGGAGAAAATTGACAAACACCGCCTCAGCCAGGCCACAGAGGTCAGTGTCAACAGCAATGGACGAGTCGTGTCGATGGTACACCCCACCTTGCAGTGACGTCAGGACGAAGCACTCCACCTGTGGGGTCTTCTCCCAATAACCTGTAACACCAGCCTAATCATGAGAACAACTTCTGCCCAATGTCAGGAAAATGCATCCCACAATCTATCTGGTGAGTGCTCTCCAAACTCTCAAGGTCATTAAATATAAGAATAGTCCAAGCAACTTGTAGTCAAAAGAAGCCCAAGGAGATGTGACGACTAAATGTTATATAGTACCTTTGCTGGGATCCTGGGACAGAAAACGGACATTAGGTTAAAACCAAAGAAATCTGAATAAGATGTTGTCTTTGGTTAGCAATGTATTGACATCAATTCAATTAGTGACAAATGTATCATACTAATKCAAGATCTTAATGGGAAACACTGTATACCTGAGGGAAGGGAGGGCATATATAAACTGTGTCAGATGCTCACTTTTTTCTCTAAATCTAAAACTATTCTGAAAAAAATGCCTGTGAAAATATGTATTTTCGAATTCATAGATTCCTGTAGCTGCAGAAGGGTTTTCTATATGTCAAAGATCAGAGCAGATCCTAGAAATGATTTTAGGTGGTGCATGGACATAGCCTTAAGTGACTCTGAGATTCCTTGGTTGGTAACTGTTCAACCCTTCTGACTCAGTACCAGAGAGGAACTCTGGTTTTTAGCTCTAGGAATCCTTCTCTAACCTTTGCCAGTTTCCTTAACAAGGAAAGAGAGAACCCTGGCCTCAGAGCTTTGCTTTCATTATTTTACTGTCTCTGTTGTTCTTATTTTTATTTTTAAAATTTGTAATACTCGAGCTGGGGATGTGACTCAAGTGGTAATGCGCTCGCTTGGCATGCAAGGGGCGCTGGGTTCAATCCCCAGTACCACATAAAAATAAAATAAAGATGTTGTGTCTACCGAAAACTGAAAAATAAATATTACAAAATTCTCTCTCTCTCTCTCTCTCTCTCTCTTCTATCTTTAAAAAATATTTGTAATACTTGAGGAAGGTCTGTTTATGTGCCACATTTGATCCTACTTTCTTATAGTGGCATTTTTGTTTGATATAAATTTATCTTATGTAAAATTGTGGATGTGTAACTGACGTGATTCTGCAATCTGCATTTGGGGTAAAATTGGGAGTTCATAACCCACTTCAATCTAATGTATGAAATATGATATGTCAAGAGCTTTGTAACGTTGTGAACAACCAAAAAAAAAAAAAACTGCAACATTACACCATGAAAAGAATAATAAAGAATAATTAAGTAAAGTAAAAATAAATACATAAATAAATAATAAAACTTAATTTAAAATTCTTAAAAATTAAGACTACTCATGGTTTTCAGATATAGCAAACATCAAGACAGTGGTATTCAAATGACAGATGCTAAGAACCAATGACCAATACCATGATGTCTATACCCCTTCACATGGCACCCAAGATCTTCCCCACCTGAGGGTCCCTCTTCAGTCCCCTGCCATCAGATTCTCCACCTGAATGCTCCCACCCCCAGGATGACCAAGATGCCAGGAGGTCAGTAGTGTTATGCCCAGGTACTGGGGACTAGGAGAAATGCAAGAGGCCCATGAATAGCCAGGTTAAATCCAATGTATAGGTTCTGTATTCCTACTCTGAGAATCCCAAATCAGTTTTGCTCCCAAATCTGAAACATTTAGAGCATAGAAATAAAAATGCAAGTGGAAAATTTCATATGTGACCTCATGTGTATAGGTGTAAATGAAATATATTGAGTTTTGTGTTTAGACTTAGGTCCCCATCTCCAAGATATCTTATTATGTGTATACAAATATTCTGAAACCCAAGTATCCAAAATCCAAAACACTTCCGGTCCCAAGCTTTTCAGATAAGGATATTCCACCTCTCCTGGTCTTTATCCAGTTTTCCTTTCCTTGTGTGGTTTGATTTCCCCTAGGATCCACAGCCTTACTGTGCTGCAGACCATTCTCATATGGGTCAAGTATGGCAGTGAGTGTTGAAGCAACCAGTTCCCTTGGGCCCCGTGGACCTGGCCAGGCCAGGAGTCAAATGCAACATGAAAGTACTGCCAGGTAGGTACAAGTGTGATCTGAATCCCAGGCCCCGACATGTCACCCATCTGTCCTGGAGCTCCATGTAACCCCTAAGCACAGGATCTTGCTAGCACTGGGTTCAAAGCCTGGGGGATCCTCAGGGAGGCATGTCAGCTCTTATTTTACTTGTCTGCCAAGTGAGGGTAACAACAGCCCCTGCCTTATGGGATTATTGTGCACATAAATGGGTTTGTATCAGCACAGCATTTAACACAATGCTAGTTCAAAATAAGTGCTCAATAATCACAAACTGTTTTCTGGTCATCTTCTGTGTACTTCTACTTCCTTCATTGCAAATTGTAAATGTGACAGTACTTACCTCCTGAGACTGTGTCAGGGATTGGGAGTCAATGCACATAAATCCTTTGTATCCTGACCTGGCTGCTAGCAAACACTCAGCAACATGCAAATATTTATTACCTATGTTTACTTATTATCAGTATGATGATTTTGATGGATCAGCAGTTCCAAGACTTAGGAGGTCTCTCCAGTTCTAGTATCTGTTTCAGGATAGGCTTGAAGGCCAGAAGCTCAAGTGTACCTAAGTCATGTCTGTGTGCTCAGTGGGACTGAAGGTACAGGTCGGCCTGCAGGTGTCCAGCAGCATGTGAGCTGCTCCTTCTCCTACCAAAGTGACTGCTTTTGAGTAAAGAAGCACAGGTTCTACCTGGCCAGCTGGATTTGCAAAACCAGGCCTGCGTGCAAGTCAGCTATTTCAGGAAGGCTACGAAGAAAGGAATTCTTTCTCTTTCTACAAATAGGCAACAATGAAAAGGGCAAAGGACTTTGCAGGTCCTCCAAAGTGTACCTGACTGCAAGGGAATGGAAACCCATAAACTTAAAAAGTACAGAAACCAAATGATATTTTCTCTGTGTTTCAAGAGCTAACAGGATGATTTTTTTTTTTTTTTTTGGTCCCTTTCTCTCCTTAGAGAGCCTTCAGGGATGCACAGTCCTGTTTATGGAGCTCTGGAAGCAGTCCTGAATTGTCATTGAACTTACGTGGCTGTCTGGAATTCAGTCACTTCTGATTGGACCTCAGTTTGTCCACTTGATAAATGAGGATGTTGGATTATATAACATCCAACATAGTGTCTAGCAATCACTCATTGATTTTAATCCTGTTAAGAACTGGAAGTTCATTCCCTGGAGTCTAATTCAACTTTTTAAAAAAATATATTTATTTTTTTAGTTGTAGTTGGACACAATATCTTTATTTTATTTATTTATTTTTATGTAGTGCTGAGGATCAAACCCAGAGCCTCACACACACTAGGCAAGCACTCTACTGCTGAGCCACAACCCCGGCCCTCTAAATTCAACTTTTTGAAGGAACCAAGAGCTGGTTCTGTAGGCTCCAAAAGAACTTTCAGACCAAAGGTCATCCTCTGTAATCGATGGTAGGTTGCCAAGGCCAGCAAATCCTTGCATGGACAACTGTGTGCATCCAAGTGCTGGCAGAGCTAGCAATTGGTTTCTTTGCCTAGTTTTCTTGTCCCTCTCTTCTAGAAGAGAATCTATTTTTGTCCCTATTGGGAACTACCCCTCCCACAAGCTGTGAGGCTGTCAATCCACGGCCTCCCCCTCCAACTCCCTGAAATACGGTCATTGGGTGTATGATCTAAAAAGGATCAACTACCCCTTGAGGAGACAGATGTGGATTCTGGGAGGTCAAGAGGGTCTCTTCTAAAAATCCCCCAATACTCAAAACTATTGCCATTCATTGAGGGGAGAGAGCTTAGAAGAGACAGAGCCAACCGAATGGAAAGTTCAGGGGAAGAAGACAGGAAGAGAAGGAGGAGAAAGGAAGAGTTAGAGGAAGAGGAAGAAAAGATGGAAAGGATAAAGAGAGGGAGGGATAAGGAGAGATGGGGAAAGAGGGAGAGGGAAGGACCAAAAGATGAGAAAGAGAGGGAGGGAAGAAGATTGTGCTAATGACTTAATATCTTGATTTGAACCTCTATAGAGCTAGCCAGACATGATGGAATATTTATAGTTTGTTTTTCCAGTTTATATGAGTCCATGACTTTTTTGGTTTGTTTTCCTTCCAAGTCCATAGGATTCTTCCAGTGGGTATTCATTCCCCCCAAATATTAAAGACCGCTACAATTGGAATATTAGAGAAGGAGTGAACTCACTTCAGAAAGAAAACAAGGTTTATTTGATGAATATAAATAAGGCGATCAGCACAAAGTACTTCTCATACACATGATAACAAATTTATGAACTGTACATACCTTGTACATTGTACTTCTACTAGACACAAGGTTACAATGACTGGCTAATACATGCCCACTGGTAGTTTCCAGGGTTCCTTATTTTTATTTTTATTTTTTTCATATCGATGTCCATAATCACATGGTCAATATCACAACCCACATGCCACTCACTTGAAGAAATATTACAAGAAGCACTATCAAACGAGGGTCTCTGGGAAGTAGATACACTGACCCCTGGCAGCATTCAAACGCCACTCTACACACACACACACAAAAAAAAAAAACATCGCAGAGAGAGCTGATGTCAACACGTTTGAGGTCTCATCAGAAACACTGTTTAAAAAGTAAAGCCCACTCTCAAATGGAAGTCGACACGCTGTTAACGTGCACACTGGATACACAAAAATCATTAAATACAAAATTGAGACTGTACATAGAAATCAAATGGGTTAGAAATTACAAGCCTGCGTCTGCCCACAGAAAGACTTAGACCAACTTTTCCTAAATGTTAGCCCAAACTTTTTTTTTTCCAACTGCATTATGATTAGAAGGGAACTTGCTAAACTTTGTGCAAAGGAAATAGCTTCCCAACTTCACAGTGTTTGTTGTAAACCCAGAGGCTATTTTCAATGTGTGAAAGGGATTTTTTCATGTGTGTGTAACCCCCAAACATTAGAGAATATGACATGAAATGAGAAAAAGATACTGTAGATAGAATTTAATTTTAAGAGACTAAATTAGATGCTTGCATATAGGTAAGGTCAATCATACTTTCAACCAACAAAAGTAGGGTCAAAATGATCCCCCAAACAATATCTGTGACAAAATTGGCACGGACATAGAAATAGCTAACTATTATGGTCAGGTGTATTTATTTGTATTTAAAAAAAAWTTTTTTTTCCTATTTTAAGGACCCTACTTTCCCTACTGGATTTCGTACTTCCTACTTCAAGTATTCAGTTGCAGAGTTTAGGCCAGGACCTGGTTACAGGAGGCAGTGAGGACAAACTGTTCATGGGGATGTGTCTGTGGCCTGTGGTTTCAGTTCGACATCGTGTCAAAATGTACTAAATAAGCTTGCAAAGAACTCTGCTCACTCCTCCAACCGAGACCTAGATCCCTTGAATAGTTAAAGGACAAACTTTTTAAACATGAATGTATTTGGATTGTTTATGCAACACGAAAGCTTTTACATAGTTTGCTATCCTGACGACAAGAACAAAGCCAGAAGCAAGAAACCAGCTTGAATATATGACTCCTGATGCACCGAGAGGGAAGGGTGCAGCTTAGAGATGATTTTATCTTCCCCAACAAATAAGAAGTTTGTCTTTTAATATCTCTATGGCTCACGAGAGAGGTCCAGAGTTAATTGCACCAACATTTTAAAAAGTAATAATGACTAAATTCAATGCAGGACTTCAGGAACATCTGTTTAGAATCCTTTCCACAGCAGCAAAAAAAGACAACTATATTTATTAAGGCCACTCATGCTTAAATTCACTGTTTGTCCTTTAAAAATGCAGGTTTTCATCTCCCACTTGCATCCACGTGGAAGGGTTTCTTCCATCGACAAGAAAATGGATCAATACAAGAGTTGCACGTGTTTTGCCAGACTCAGTCGTGAGTTTTATGAAGTTACTACAACTTTAATTTTTTTTTTCATCTTCAGAGGAAGCAGTAGGAGTTGAATTCTCCTTAGTACCATGTCACTATATGTAAAAGACCTTGAAATTGGGTCTCTTTCCCTGGCATGTGCTTTAAATAATGACTCTGTATCCACATACGTGTTGTGTCAGGCTATATACAGATACACAGCTTTGGGGATTATTCCTCATTCATCAATGTTTTCGTGTTTGATGCTGAAAATGCTTTGGAATCCATGTTGCARACATTTAAAAAAAATGAGAAATGACCCTTCCTGTCTAGAAGATCTAAGCTTACACTGTTTGCACAGCTTTTGGATCTTGAAGTGTGAAGGCAGGCGTCCCAGCTTCTTCAATGGAGACCTGGGAGTACAGGAATGGTAACAGCCTGAGGCTGGATCAATCCCAGCCCTGGGGTGCAGGGAACACAAGGAGTTGATATGCAGGCGCCTCAGGCTGTTGCCACTTCCAATACCTAAGCAGGGAAAGAAAATTATGAATGAATAATTTAGATGTGCCATGCATTGTCAGAGACACACACCATATTCTCATAAGGCGATTTCTTGGCAAGTATTAGTGGTTTAAAAAATTGATATCATTTCCAACCTGGCCCAGAGGTAACTACTGGTTTGTACCATCAAAAACACGGTTCTTCGAACAGCGGATTAAAGAAACAGAGGAGGGTAAAGGCTYGCCCTTTTTGGTGTTTTGGTTTCTTTGTCAAATGCTCCTTGCACCGTGGTTGACAAACACCRCCAACACCACTCACTCGCGCGCGACAAATGTACACTGGTTGGTAATCTAATGCATTAGGAATGACCACTGAGACAGAACCAGCAGGATAACTGGAGATGAAGCTAGCGGTCCAACAGAAGCTGAATCCATACTTAAAATCCCATGGAGTTCCAACATATCCAATGAAGATAAGTAACAGAAATAAAACGCTATCAAATAAATGCATTCAGAAGAGATGGTCCCATGTTCAATGCCCAAATCCCAACATAAAATGGAGGATGTGTCATTTTTCTCCACCTGTGTATTCTTCCTTTCCAATCCAAATCCATGAGAAAAGACATGAGAGGATGAAGGAAATACCAAGTCGAACAAAACTGCACTGGAGAATGAAAGTGAAAACTCCCCTTTGGTTCTGCTGAGCCGCTCCCGGTGGTGGTGGAGGACAGTGACATGAGCCCACTGCAAAGGAGTGTCAGAATATTGCCGCAGAGCTGCACTTCCCCTGGGTTCAGCCCTTCTGATAGCTGCAACAAGAAAGGGCATGATTTAGCAGGGAGAGAAACAGGCTGCAATATCTGAACTAAGCCTGGCAGGATTTCTCCCATCCCCCACCCCAGCATTGCCTCTTTGCCACTCTCTTGGGGAAGGGACAATGGGGAGGGAACACAGAGAAGGGACAAAGTGAATAGAAAGTTAAACCATGTCCTGCAAAYGCAGCTGAGAAGACACCTCACTCAAGCTATGTCACATTATAGGTACACAGAGAAGAGAGACAGGCCAAAAGGTTTCAGTGATTATTTCTTTTTTCTTTTTTTTGGTACCAGGAATTGAACCCAGGAGCACTTAACCACTGAGCCACGTCCTTTTTATATTTTATTTAGAGACAGAGTCCTGCTGAGTGGCATAAGGGCCTTGCTAARTTGCTGAGGCTGCCTTTGAACTTTCATTCCTCCTGCCTCAGCCTCCCAAACTACTGGGATTACAGGTGTGTGCCACCAGGCCCAGCTCCGTGATTATTTMTACATGACAAAAATTTGCGTCTCCCCCACCGCCTAAAAATTTTTTTTACAATGACTCTGGTTTTAATTTTTTTWAAAAAACTTGTCTCTTAAGATTAGAGAGTTAAATACAGTTAAGATACCAAAAACACTCTTTCACATTTACTTATACACCATCAACAGCAACCATTTGAAAGAACGTTGGAGCAGTGATTCCACTCATAGGTAGATAGCCAACAGGTCTGAAAATAGGAACTCAGATACTTRTACATAATTATTCAAAGTATAATTATTCACAATAGCCATTCATCCCCAGATGAATGGAGAAATGAAATGTGGCATGGGGGTATAAAAAGAAATGAAGTTCTGAGGCAATCCACAAATGGATGGATCTTGAAGACGTCATGCTAAGCGAAATAAACTACACCCTCTGCCCCCAAAAGACAAGTACTGTATGATTCCTTTACATGAAATATACAAAATCGACCAATTCATAGATGCAGAAAATAGATTATAAAATTACCAGAGGCTGGAGAGAGTGGGAGGGGAATGGGGAGTTTTTTTATCAATGGGTACAGAATGATTTGGGGTAATGAAAAAGTTMTRGAAGTAAATAGAGTAGTACAATCTGGTAGAGTTACTCAGTGCCACTGAAACATACTCTTAAAATGGTTAAACTGGTAAACTTCATGTTATACAAGAGAAATTTTAAAATAATATTGACATCTCCTTAAATAGAGATTGCAACAGAGTTGGCTTCCATCACCACGTCCCATGGCGCGAGCATATCCTTCTCGCCAAACATAGATGCAACAGTCATCTACGTGCCTTCTTCATTCCCTGGGGATAGGCGTCCAGAGTGCTCCAAACTGTTATCACCATCCAGGGTGGGATATGGGATTGTGAAACACAACCGCAGCCTGGGTGAAGAAGAGGGCACCGCACAATTGTCCTGAGCTGGGTGAGCAGAGGGGACCATCCACACTGCTTTCTTCCATGGCTGATGCTCAGTGTGTGTTTCTGCCATTGTTATTCACATGGGGTCTCTGAGTGCTTGGGGAGTTTCCAGACACAGGGCAATGGCACAGCGATCCATCTGGGGACCACTGCAGGGAGGGGAAAGATCAAACACACACACATCACACTCATGCCTCGTGCACACACACAGACACACACACAGACACCACATTTTTCARATAGCCTGAGCCATCTGATTTGGTGGTTGCTACACTACATTTCTCAGGTCATACCGACTAATGAGAATGCCAAAGACTCTGGTGTCTGCACAGGTAGGCAGCTATTTCAAGCCATCATTAAGCAATGCAAATGAAATATGTGGCTTGGATGAACTCTGCTAATTCATACTCTGAGGAGTTTGGTGTAACTCTTCTGGTTAAGAAACTTGAATCGGGGCAAAAAAAAAAAAATGACTTTTGCAGAGCCAGAAAGTTAGGGAGTTCCTAGAGCAGATCATATTACTCATTCTGGCACATAAAATCTCTGCAAACTTTGTATGAAAATTGTAAGTCAGAGCACGCCTTCTGTTTCATGAGCTGTGCATAGCTCTAATTCTTTTGTGCATTAAGCATTTCTTAATCATCCTCTTAAAGGGCTGACCAATATAATAAGAGGCCACATGATTAAAAGGTAAAGGGAAACCCAAAGCAGTATTAAAATGCACAGGTCATTTTTTTTTTTTTTTTACATATGGGGAAACGAGTGAAAAATAATTACGGTGAATGTCCAATGTCCTTGATGTTATTCCAAGATAAAGTAGCAAAGAACAATCATTTATTCAGTCGTGAGAAAGGTTTCCAGCTGAGCAACAGGTCACGGGGCAGAATACGGGGCCTCCTGAGTGCAGCTTCACTGTTTGGGGTAAGGTTTACTCTGTGGAGATTTCTTGAAAAGTATTGCCACTCCTCCATCAAAAAATCCATTCACTGAGCGGCTGAAATGGGCTGGTCGGGGGGATCTTCAGATGATCCCTTGTTGAGGGCCACATGAGATTATGTTTTTAAAAAAGGAATCTTGGCTTCGGTCAATGAAGCAATGGGGCTGCTTCACCCATTTGGTGGTTGCTAGACAGCATTTCTCAGGTCATACCKACTAATGAGAATGCCAAAGACCCTGGTGTCTGCACAGGTAGGCAGCTATTTCAAGCCATCATTAAGCAATGCAAATAAAATATGTGGCTTGGATGAACTCTGGCCAGTCYTCCCTCACCTGGATGGTGAGGCCAGCAGCCCTAACTACCCCCAGCATCCTCTTCAACAGCACCCAACTCTGCAGTCTCTTGGAACAGCCAAAAATGCTATTTCCAGGGGACAATCACTCCATCCTACAGTCCCCATTTATACTTTATAACCCTGTTTACAGCCGGTTTACAGTCCTGTGGCCCCAGAATGGCAGACCCATGCCTCAGGCCACGCTGGAGAGGCCTCCTTTGGACTCTCTTTTGAGCTCAACCCTCAGCTCTAACATTCGTCTCTTCAGTTCCACCTATGCTGAACTTGCTGTTCCTTTATTCTCACTGCTTGTCTCTCTAACATGCACCCACAGCAGCTGTCAATCTGATTAATACCCATTTCTTCTTCAGTCTCCGCCTAGAAGTTGTGCCTTCTAGGAATCCTTCATTGCAGGATCTCAAAACTGCTGTGCATGGGTGGCCACTGAGCACTTGAAATGTGGCTGGTCCACACTGAGATATGTTGTGAGACTGAAACACACATCAGATTTTGAAAAAAAATTTAAATCAGCCTTTATTGTTATTTATATATATGTGGTGCTGAGAGTTGAACCCAGTGCCTCACACATGTTAAGCAAGGGCTCTATTACTGAGCCATGACCCCAGCCCCGATTTTGAAAATTTAATATTAAAAAAAGGTAAGTAATCTGTGTGACATTTAAAAATTTTGTTGTTGTTGTTTGACACAATACCTTTATTCTGTTTATTTTTATGTGTTGCTGAGGATCAAACCCAGTGCCTTGCAATGAGCTAGGCGAGCGCTCTACCACTGAACTACAATCCCAGCCCCGTGTGACTTTTTTTTATACTGATTTCATGTCAAAATGATATTTGAGATATACTGAATCCAATAAAATATATTACCATCCAATAATACTTCTGCTAAACTGTCATAGTCTAGACTGTAAGCTCCATGAGGGCAGGGCACAAAGGCCAGTCTTGCTCACTTGGGATCTCTCATTCCTTATACAGGCTCTAGAACAGGTCAGTTTACTCATTCCTTTCACAGATATTAGTCATTAGAGGCAGAATCCTAATGTCTACCTTTCTCCATAAGATTTCCCACCATAATCCCCAACGCTGGAACTAAAACGATATCAGATGACCATTGTACAACTCTACAAAGGTATTGAAGGGTACTAGCAGTTGACTTTTAAGTTCACCAAAAGGGAGACTACTGTCTGAATGGACCAAATGTAATGACAGGAGCCCTCATTATCAGAGACTTTCCTCCCACTGTTGCAAAAAAGAAAGTAATTGAAGTCTGGTACACCGTAGAGGTTCAAGTGCTGACTCAGAGGGAGCCATAGGGTAAGAACCTGAGAGCTTTGTTCAGGTTGTGAGGTAGCTCCCAGCCAATGGGCAGCAAGAAAACAGGAACCTAGGTCCTATAATGATGAGACTCTTCAATCTGCCAATAACCTGAGTGAGTGTGCAGGAGGATGCTTCCAGAGCCTTCACTCAGCCAATGAGCCCCATCCCCAGCCCTATTTCATATTTTATTTAGCGAGAGAGTCTCACTGAGTTGCTTAGCACCTTGCTGTTGCTGAGCTGGCTTTAAACTCCTGATCCTCCTGCCTCAGCCTCTGGAGCAGCTGGGATTATAGGCATGCAAATCTCACCTGGCCATCTGTTTTTTGATAGGAAAAGATGTCCCCAACTTTTCAGTGAAAAAAAAAAAAGGCAGATTACCATTGTATAGGAATAATTCAACCTTATTTTTACATCTATATACGCATAAATGTTGTATAGGAATAATTCAACCTTATTTTTACATCTATATACGCATAAATGTAAACATTTGCAAGTGTACATACCAGAATATTAATATTTTCCTCTGGGGGTTGTTTAGAGGTTTTCTACTTAGGATTTTTTTTTTTTTTGGCCTTATTTTGGATATTTTAAACTGAAGAATGTGTGAATAGTATCTTACTAAAATAAAAAGCTATTTCCTTTGTGGGAAAAAAGGAATAGGTCCTGGGTGGATGGTGTTGCTTGGCTCAGGGGCGGGAGCAGGAGGGGCGGTGGGCCAGGCCAGAACAGCAGTGAGATTCCACCCCAGGACAAGCGCCCCCAGGAGAGCAGGCTATAAACCTGTGGTGTCTCACAAATATTCCTTCAGACTGTTTTTCTTTGGAATAAAGACACCTGCCCGATTATGGCTTTCTTCTCCTGCCCTTTCAGTAGTGATTTGCAGGAACAGGCTGGGAGAAAGGGGTCTTTGGTAAACACGGAGGGGTTAAAGGGGAAACTGTTTAATAACAGTAGTAAAACGCAG